ATATATGCCCCGAAATTTGCAGGGGAAACAGCGGGAAACCGGCGAACGTTTATTTTCTCAAGCACGAGAACCGCACCTGGACCACCGAGGAATTGTGCAACATCGAGGCGGCCGCCCGACTCCACCCGGAATACAACGTACGAGAGTGTCCGTTCTCCGAGAAAATCCGTTTGGAGAATTAACGAATGAAATGTTTTGCACATAGGTATTCTTGATAAACCTCGAAAAAAGGGGGGATCGAGGCGGCACACTTGTCAGCCGGGTGTCGAAGGGTAGGCGCAAAATATCGGTAAGAAACGAGGGCAGTTCCGAGTCGCGGACGAGACGCGAGCTGTCGAGGATGTCGAACGTCGAGAACGTGAACGTGGGCCTCGAAAAGTTTTTTCATGGCTCCGTCGTGTCGAAGAAGATCGGCCAACTGACAGTGGACAAGCTCGAGTTGGCAGCCAAGTTCCACGCTATATGGGAAGCACCCGGAATCGCCCTCGAACCCCTGAACGCCCACCAACTGAGCAGCGTTGCTCGTTTGTTCAACAGGTATATAATATTATATCAACTGTATACCAACGGTATAATTTATATGTATATATATATACCTCTTGATCCCTTTTTCGCCCAATTTGGCTTTTCTTTCAACAACAGCAGCCAAGGCGACCCACTGGCTGGCGTACAGATGGACGGCGATTTGCAAGCTGCAAGCGTGGCCTGCCACTCGTTCGTCGGTCTCGTCAATCGCGAAATCTCCAAGAGCGGCGTCCCGGAGCGCCGAACCGTGCTCAAACGCGCCCTCCTCAATTTCTGCTCGAGGTAGTGTATACACATGTTACCCACTGCGCGTGGAAAGCAATACAATGCCTCGTCGAGTGCAGTGTGACGATTTTTACAGTTTGTCGGACTGCACGGGGGTGCGGATTGTGCAGCCGGTTGCCGAGAAGAAGCCGCCGGAGAATTCGAAGGACTGTCCGATCGTCCACTCGGTTGATTTTGGCAGCTAGGACTATAAATATACATGATGTTTTACTTAATTGTTACGTTGTCATCTTTTCGTTGAATCTTCATTTTGGTTGTCGCGTGACTGAAGTATACCTTTGTACGTTAAAACGTAGGACAAAAGTCACGTATACGCACATTGCCTCAGATGAATAAATACTGCTAACTAATACATAACTATAATTATTTGATCATCGCGTCTGTAGTTCAAACTTTATTTTTAATTAAAATGTATGTCTGACGCGTGATTTTATCGTCTACACGAGCTAAATTTGTTTCAAACGGTCCCGATGCGTATGATTATCGATCCGTAATTTATATACTACGTATTTTTATTACCATCGATTATTGGAAAAAGAGTTTTGAATCACAGTGAATTCAGCTATTTTGGTACAACCACAATAAGTAAGATAATTATTATGACTTTCATGCTCTAATGAAAATGGTTGTTGAAAAAAATAACATTTGTGTACCTACCGATCAAAGTAAATTAAAAATAAGTCAGTTTTGTAATGTGCAAAAAAATTCGCTATCGGAGCATATATGTATAAAAAGCCCGTACTCCAAACAACCGATTAATACAATTAAAAAAGTGTTTGAAACGTTGTGAAGAACTGCAGAACTTGTAAATTCAACGTGTATGAATATCAACGAAATTAAGCTTTGCAAGTGCATATCAATTTAAACAACTTCACGCGACAGAGTGAGGCGTATGAGTAAATATGTCAACAATTTCAATACGTGGTTATGTATTTAAAAGTAACTGGTGCCAGTATACGAGTAGTTCAGTCTCGTTCACCCAATAATAAACAACCGACCCGAGAAATTTGTATTAGGTACATAATAAGACAAGTAAATCATAACAACAATAATAATAATAAAGTCGTATCACCTAAAGCGAAACAAAATCAACAAAGAGACAAGCGCGGCGTGGAAAAACGCAGTCATGACAAGATTTCAGAGGAAATACACCGTCGGTAGCTACAACTTGTTCAATGACGAGGTAAAAGTCTTAACCGCAAAACAATCACCTTACCGATTTTCCAGCGCCTCGGGAAATTAACCTGCAACATTTGCAACACGAGCTTCATAGGTAGCGCCGTATACGTGACGATGATCGGCCTCCTGGGCACAGTTTGTTATTTTTCCCATACATTTTACATTCCATTAAAGATAAGACACTACCCGCAAAATCACTGAAATGTCGTGTACTCACCAGGCGATATCGATCCTCGACATAATAAGAATAATGAGCTGTAAAAAGCCCGAAGAATCGTCCTCAAGATGCGGAGCTGATGGAATCGGTTAGTGGACACGCTTGTAAGAGGAATTAACACCGATCCTCCCAACGAATGTAAAATTGTATTGTTTATCGGTTCGAAAACCTGTACAGTGCCGGCAGAAGTCGAGCGAGATTTGAAGCTGATGACCTCGATCCTCGGCATAGAGCACAGCGCGCTCATCATGCTCGGTGCCATTACCGTGAGTTACTCTTGCAATTTCTTTTTTTTTTCCATCATTTGCAAATTCCCGCGCGAAATAACGTGAAAAAAAAATTAAATTCCCAGGGCTACGGGATGCTCCACGTTCCCTGGATCCTGATGCAGCTGTGCATCATAGCGATCGAGCTTGTGGTTTTCGTCGTCAGACTATTTCTCGAGGGCCTGCACGTGTCCCGCGACGAGATATTTATCGCTCTGCTCTCCCTGCACAACTGGTTCCAAGTCTATTGTCTGTTTCAGCGACAATTTTACCAGTCCTGAGGAGGAAAAATCAACAAATGTACCAGTATCGTCGACTTGTAATTTTTTATTTATTTATTTTTTTTTTTTATAAGATAAATATTTTCAAGTTTTTCTTTTCTTTCTTTCTTGTGGATTGCAATACTGCAGTGAATCGGAAACAATTCACATTTGTATGTATTTTTTATTTAGGACAAAAGAAACGACGACAATAATATGAAGCAAAAAGAAAAAAAAAAGACAATCAACTGACCGGTGAGTTTTCAAATTTAAATTTTCACGACTTTATCAACAATCGTTGATTATTTCGACGATCGAATATTTCGAAAAATATTGGGGTACTTGTTCGATGGGATCTGCGCTGTTGTGGGAGCTGATTAGCTTTACAAACGAAAACAAACACCTATACTGCATTATGAAAAAATGTAGAAAGAGATTTTTAAGCGACCGGTAGATCATCGCGGGACGATAAATTACTTCCGGTTAATAATTATAGGACTACGAGACAATAATTTAATGCCAATTATACAAAGTTTTTTTAGCTTTCTAGTATAATATTATATAATATTATATATATATATATAGGAATCGATGCGAATATCGTGTGATAAATATTTATGTATATCACCATGGGGTGACTGTGTATGTTCTTGTAATATATACGGTACCAACATGTTAAATAAATTTTGTTTTTTCTTTCGTCCTTTTTCATCTTCATCTTTGCCCTCTAAATTGCTTTTTTTTTTTTTTTACACATTTATATATGTACGAGAGAATAATTTTAGAGGTATTTCTGTATTACACAGTTTAAATGTCGTACAATTTCCAATGATTAAAAAAAATACAAAAAATGCAATTTTCTGCTAAATAATTATTAAAAAATAAATAAATGAATTTAGTTTTGTAAAAAAAAAAAGAAAGTATTTTTCACGCAAACAATTCATAATTACAGTCATTTTTATTTTGAAAACAAGTGCACAACACACACGTGTCCTCAATCACTCCAATATAGAAATAAACGATGACTTTTCCAATCGGTACAGCTAACCTTTTTTTTTTTTCTGATGCGTAAGCATAAACCTCCTCCTCCTCCTTTTAATTTATGATTTTTCAAGTCCTTTGCCAAAACATGTGACTGGGAATTCGGGTCACCTTCATATTATTTTGCTTGAGCTGCATAATATCCATCCGTGGGGCGAAATGTCAAATGTGTGACAGTCCTGAAGTCGTCACAAACAAAGTTATACCGCAGCTCTATAATCGTTTATTTTGACTTTATGGTCTCATGATTCGGTGATTCGGCCAATGAAAAAGTTGAAGACGATGGCAGAGGATAAAGAAAAATTATGGACTGGCGAGTCATCGCGTGCTCGGACAATAATGCTGGGAGCAGCAAACATCATGAAAAATTGGACGGGCAAAAGTGAAGTTCCACCCGTTTTACTGGCCGGCTGTATTTTAACCACTGCCCTCGTTTTCCTCGCTTTCGTGCCCCTCATCATCTCAGCCCACCAACACCCATCCAACACCTGTCGACTCGCGAGGTTTGTACACAACTATCAAAGCACCGATTATACAACTTTTCAAAAACAAACGGAGTGTGTGTTAACGGAGCTATACTCTATATTTAATAGTTACCGGTACACTGTTTTCACTTGATATTAATTTATAGAGAGAACCGTATGTATTTTTAGTGCGCGAGTGTACAACGTGACAGGCAATGAGTAAAGTTTTTTTTTTTTTTTCTTCATTACCAAATGCGTTTCAACTGCAGCTAATGAACAAATAATGGTCTTTACATGGCGTACGTGATAAGAACAATAAGATTTTCTGCGCGAGCCACGTGTGGTTTATTTTACATACACTTTCGCAATACAACGTGTAGTGAGAGCATAAATCATCCCTGACTGATGTATTCGTACGCGTGTACAGGTATCGTATGATAATTAATTAGCTCTTTGGTTGCGGGACGTCCGTTCGCGGCGTCAATTATTTTTATTGTTCCAACGGGATGCAGGTTTTTTTTTTTAATGGCATTTCCTCTACCGGCACGGAGTAAAATGAAACTTTCGCTGCAATCGAAAGAGAGA